CTATAGATCATGCTGGCCTCCTCTAATATACATGCTTTTGAAATTATGATTCAAATTTCTAAGTAGCAAAAATTCCCTTCACCTTTTTGAACCTGACAACATCAGGTCACAACATACTAGCCTGCATAGACAGGTGTCCCTAGACCAGAGAAACCCTTGGCCAAAATTCTCTTGGAGTAGCTAGAAACAGCTGACTATGCAGGCTAAACATATACCAGTAAGTGTACCATCATGTGTTTGTACCTGGTCTTGTTTTGGTGGTGGTTTCTGTGGTGGTGGTGGAGGCATATCTTGGTCATGTTTACTTTGTTCAAATTGAGAGGTTCTGCTTGGGTTCTTGAGTGATGGTGATGCATGAGGTAGACTCTGATAAGCTTGTGACTGTCCTTTATGTTCAGCTTGAGCAGGATAACCATGGTATGGCTGTGCTTGATACTGTTGTGACAAATACCCTTGGTATTGTTGTTGTCCACTGTATACTTGTTGACTAACTTGATATCCATGCTGTTGTTGAGGATATTGYGTTGTGCTCTGTTCCTTACTATAGCCTGGGTACGTTTGCTGTCCTGTTGTTGGATAACTGACCTAATAAAATTACAGTAATTTATAATATRACATTAATATAGTGTGATGATTTAATCACTTCTAAGAAAAAATCAACTTAATATAAAACAAAGAATGATTGTTGTGGATTAGTGTTACTTAGCAATTTCTTTATCACCAACACTAATCCCACAACATTTCAACTACATGTATTACACTGTACTTGGCTCAGCTTATTTGTGTCCTATTTGTCAAGTTACAATTACATGCAACTATCATAGAAGTGAAACTGCTTTGGCAATGTAGGTTTCCTCATAAAAATTATTATTACTAATTTCATTATTCTTAGATGGACCACAAATACATGGACAAGATGGACTATAGAAAATATAGACTATAGGAATAATTCACACACCTGAGCTGGTGCTTGGCTTAGTGTTTTGTTCAGATACTGTTGATGATCAGCATAAGATGATGGCTGCTGTTGAACAGAATATCCATATGCTTGCTGATGTTGAGCTGGTGGCATCTGAAAAGCCTTTTTAGGATCAGATTCTTGATGTGTTTTATTTGGATAAGTTGAAGATTGAGATAGCTGTTTAGCATGATGGGTTGCTGGTGGATAAGCTTGAGAAGATGATGATACTCCTTGGTGTTGTTGATAATTATGAATCCCATATTGTTGGGGTCTTATTGATTGTGAATATTCTTGCTTTATATTTTCARTTTGTGATGGATATTGTAGAGGTTGTTTATTTRGTGTTTGTTCAGTCTTTGTATTTGTTGGTGTTGGTTTATTTGGTGTGCCTTTATGGTGAGCTGATGGTTGTGGTAGTTCAGGTTTGGGTGGATAAGCTGTTGTGTAGGACAATGGTTTAGTTTGTGGTTGAGATGAGYGTTTGAACTGATTTGAAATGTCATGTTTTGGGTAATTATTGGCTGATGAAGTTATCTGCTGTGAATGAGGAAACTGATGCTTGGATGCTTGCTGTGAGAAAAGAAATAATTTAATATCATGGTTATAATCATCTAGGGCCGGGATGATCAAAGCTCCATTAGCATTATTAATCAAGGGTTACTCTATTGGATTTTGAAGAGTTAAAATGAAGGATTAGCTCTAATCAGTCTTTGAACAACCTGGCCCGGCAAATATGTCAATCAAAAATTAATTAGTCAGTCAATAGATGAATGCTAACAAAATTTGTAAATCAATAAATTAATCAGCCAGTTGATCAAACATCATTAATTTATCAATCAGTTATTGATGAAATAACTATGTTTAATCATTAATGATGTCATTCAATCCTTCAAAGAATTGYACCTGATTGGTTGTTGACTGGTTTGTCAAGGACCTTCCTTGCTGTAGTGATGGATCTCCATGATGTTGATAGGCATGTGGTGCTGGATGAAGTGTTGTACTCTTTGGTGAATGCAGCTTCATACTAGACTGTTGTTTATCTCCCTTGAACAAAATAGAATAATATTCATTTATTGTTGTCATACATGATATACCATGGAAAACAATGATGAAGTGTCTGTAAAATGTATCTTTGACAAACTCCGATCTAAATTCACAAAATGTGTCAAAATTGTTTTTCAGATAACATCCAACTCATCGTACCTGGTGTATTGTCAATTGACTATGAGGAGACTGGTGACTACTAGCTGGAGTTGCGTGACTTGTTACAACATGAAGAGGTGTCACAGGTGTTGTGTTACTTGTTACAGTTGTATTGTTACTAGTGATTTTGAAGTGTTTTTCAGYCTGTGGTGGATGTGATGGTAGTCCTCCTGGTCCATATGATTGGTCGCCACTTGACATGTATACAGGATTAGGGTGTGGGTAAGTTGGAGTGGGTATCTGTGGATGGTTCGGAGTGGCTGGATATGCAGGATATCCTTGATGCAATGGACTGATGGATTGTTTTACACCACCTAGGTACAATTAAAAATCACTCTATGAGCATAAGAAATCGAATTGAAATAAAAAAATAACCCTGCCCTGATGTCCCTTAGATCTACCTGGTGGTTCCATTCTTACTGCAGGTTGTGCTGCAGTTGCCACTGCATTACCCATAACACCAAAAGGCCTCGGACCCACCATAACATAAGGCATACGATTCACACTAGTGGCCATCATGGGGTGGTGAAAAGCAGGGTGTAGTTGACGTTCTTTTTGACGTTTTTGCTCACTCTCTTCATTCAGGACCTTCTTTAACTGTAAAAACAACTCGTGTTTCTCGTTTTTTAAGGATTCCAATTTTTCCTCAAGTTTAGTTATCTCCATTTTAACATCTTCCACAGTTTCTTTCTTTTTCTCTTGTTCTCGCTTCCATTGCATAACTGCTTCTTCTTTGGCTTTGCTTTCAGCTAGGGCTTGTCGCTCTTTCTGTCTTCTCCTCATAATGTAAGCCCGTACAGCTTTAAGCTGCCTTTCAGAAGGCCGCTTACGTTCTAGCAGAACTGGCATTGTTGTATATATAAACTATTAGCGTAATGTCTTTGATATCTGAATTATTTCAAGGAGAAAATCCGCCATATTTTTTCTCTCGCTCCATTTGAACTGCGCATGTGTAGTTTTGGCACACCGCTGTGATAGCACAGTCACGTGATCAGCACTGAGCGCGCTCGAGATGCCAACGATAGAGAGCAAGCCTTTGAAAATGTCTTCACCTGATTACTTGTCTTTTGGTTTCGCTGCTATTGTGGCACTTGGAGGAGTCGTTGGATATGCAAAAGCTGGTCAGTGCTTTCTCTTTCACTGTTCGGTAGCAAATTAGTACATAAGACGGCACAAAATTCAGACAAAATTCGTTAATTCCCACTGCATTTATATGATTGATGTACAACATAATAAATCAATTATTCAACAGGAAGTACTGTCTCATTGGCAATGGGACTGAGTTTTGGAGGAATTGCTGCATTTGGCGCCGTACAGACTTCTAGGGACCCTAAAAATGTTTGGGTTCTTTTAGGTATAAACTTTCTGTTAACTTAATTGTAACTCTTAATTAATTGACCCAACCCCCCCCCCCACCCCCCCTTGAAATAACCCCCCCTTCTGAGAATGAAGACAAATCAATCAATCAATCAATAAATAGGTGCAATAAAAATCCCCACCCTGGTGCATCACTTTAATGTTTCATGCATGCAAGGAATATAATTTTGATAGATAATATGTGAAAAAAGCTAATTGGGGACATAAAGGTGATTGATTGGGTTCCACTTCTTGTCTACTGGAGGTATAGATTTACTGCCAAATCATTGATTCATTTTCCCCTCCTTGCTGACCTAAAGTAGGAGTAATAGTACAAAAATGTTATGAATCAGTGGTTTACACATTCGAAAAGGYGACAGTGCTCAACTACCAATCACCATTTACTTTGCTTTGAAATTTGCAAAAGTGTGTAATAGATGGTTCAATGAGGAGCAGTTCATTGTTAGTAGTCTATTTCATAGTTCCCTGCACTGTCTGGAAAGGTAGCCATACTTTTCATCTTTTTCTCCAACTTTTGTCTAAATTGGTGCTTTTAAATGTCATTGAAATTTGTGCATTGTCAAAAATATATAATAATTGATATAAACAATTACTGCAGTGTCATCGATGGTTCTTGCTGGTGCAATGGGGTCAAGAGCTGTCAGGTCTGGAAAGTTTATGCCTGCTGGATTAGTAGCAACTATAAGGTGAGCTGATGTTGTGCTCTTACAGAGTGAATATTGTCTTGTAGAAAAATTAACCTAATCCAGGAAATAGCTGTCTGAAAGATATTTTATTATTCATATTGATATGTTTGTGCTTGTGCAATAATTAACAATTGGTTATCAATAATTTTCATTTTTATTTTGTTTTCACAGTGCTGCAGAGGCTCTTCGTATGGGATACAGACTACTCAATCGATAGACCATGAAATGATATCCCAGTAGTTGTAGGTGATAGTAGCCAAAATGTAGTCCATTACTACGCATTGTATAGCATCTTTTATTGTAAAACATACGTGTAATTTCCAAATCAATCCTGGTTCTATGACTCAGCAGTTATAGAAAAATAAAAAAAGATAGTCTTTCATAAGTTGGTGTATTTACAGTATCTTTGACTTCATTAGCAAAGTCYACTTCTAAAGACATTTATGTTGGATCATAGTGAATGTTTTTCACTCTTTCTTAATAGAGAAACATGAACAAGATTTTTACCTCTCCTGTACAATGGAAACTGTTGCAGTGCTATTTCAAGCTACATTAGTTTTTTTTTGTGATCTGAAGGTGGTACTTATGCTGTAATTCCTTTCTCTAGACTAAAAATAAGTTAAGATTGCATTGAACTTTATAGTCAATTGGGTGGTWTTCTGCAAATGGCTCCAAAGCAGTAATTTAAATTAGCATAATTTTGACCCTCTAAAGTTGCAATCGCTACTTAGGTGTTGTGTTCCATGTGAAAGTGGGCCCTCCAGACAATGCAATTAATTATGTACAACTGAATTTATGAATATTTATATCTGATTACACCCTTGCTGGGGATTTACTAGTAGTTCTCTTAGCAACACCAGGCCTGCCTGGAGATTTGCTTAATGAGTCTTTGGTGTTTTCCCTTCCTCTAGGCACACTTCTACTTCTTGATCTTGAATCTTCTTGAGACTCCTTTCTTCCAACACTAGGGTCCCTTGACCTCTGTTCATCTTTTGAAAGCTTTTTKGCAGGCAYTTGAGAGGATCTTTTTGTTAGTGGTGCTCTTCTTGCTGCTGTTTCTTTTGCTTTCTTTCTTTCTTCTTGTTTCTTTTTCTCTTCTTCCTCTTCTTTCTTACGTATTCGTTCTTCTTCAAGAAGCCTTTCTTTGTGTTCAGCAACTGAGTGCACTTCTTCTATCATGTTAGTAGCCTGAAAGAACATTTTTAGTATTAGACAGTTTTAGTATTTGACAGTGTTCTAGTATTTTAGCCTCTGTAAGCAGATGTTCCAAGTGGTTCGATTCTAATGTCTGCTTACGGAGGCTAGTAGTATTTGGTGTTCACATATTTTTAGGAAAACATTATTACTATGGGAAGTGTTATTTGGAAAACATACATGAGCATGTAAAATAAGAACTGACTGAGTCATAATAAATACATGTAATGCATTTTAATGATAAAAACTAAAAACCAATAAAAACCAATAAGAATCAATATTCCTACCCATGCATAAAATGTTGCAGCTCCAGCACTAATATCCCGTACTATCTCCAAGTCCAAGTCAGCAAGGTATTTAGATTGAGCATAATTGGCATGTTCCATCTCAACATGTAGTGGATCCAGTGAAGTAACTTGTCTTTTTAAACCTTCTTTTCCTGTTTTCCCAAGTAAAGCCTGCATGTGTTTCCAGTTTAATAACTCTTTTTCTTTGTAACCAAGTAATATGTAAACAGATATCATGACCTTGTGGAATGAAAATGATAAATAAGTAATTTCACATTTTGATTAGTTTTTTGATTTGATGCACATTGCCAGATCAATGCCAACCTTAAACTAAAGACTCTAAGAGCACTAACTTGAGCAACATCACATTACACTAACTGATGTAGTTACTTTTCATGACAATAGGGCACATTGACAATGCTGGCTATAGTTTCTTTCCCTGGATTTGGTTGAGGTAAAAGAGCTTGCATGTCCCATTTTTCCTTAGTCAATTATTGTTATATTAACATAATATCAGATCTTAATATAAAGAACTAGAATTATATGAAGCTTAAGAGGAAAGGAAAAAGAAATTGAAGATTAATATGCCTTACCTTGTGCACAGCTGGAGGTGGATTTTGATAACTACGGATTTCTGAGATAACACTCTGTTTAAGCTCTAGAATCTCGGCTCTTATCCTTTCAAGCCTACGAAGGCGGTTGGCTAATTTCTCTCCTTCCTTGAGCTCAGGTCCCCAGTCTTTCTCATAACCATTTTTGCGAATAAATGACATGGATTTCTCGATGTCTCCAAGGTGTCTTCTATTTATTGCATCTTTGAGTGCTTTTCCTGCTTTTACATTGCTCAGCGTCTTTTCAGCATCATCAATATCTTTTTTGAGACCTGGAAGAATAAAAATTAATACTAAAATGCATAACAAAAAACATATGAAACATCAAAATGAATTTGTAGAGTTCAAATAATTTTTCATTAATTAAAATATATCATACATAAAGATAACTGGGTGAACATTGGTGGCCAGCACAATATCACAAATTTTACCTGCCATCTTTGCAGCTTTTGCTTCTTTGATTGCAGGTTCAAGTTTTTCTGTCTTTCTTGATTTAACAGAAGCCTTCAAATTAGCTCTTAATCTCTTTTCTTTGTTTGCCATTGCTTCAGCAAGAGCTTTTTTCTCAGCTTCTTCAGCAGCTTTACGACTTGCTTCATCAGTGGCTTTCTGTGCTTCTTCGGCTGCTTTCTTTGCTGCTTCAGCTGCAGCCTCCTCAGCCRCAGCAGCTTCATCAGCGAGATCCTCTGCCTCCATGGCTTCTTCTTTTTCTATTCTTAATCGTTCTTCTCTCTCTACAATGATAATTACAATTCAGAATGCTGTTAGGAAAGAAGGAATACTATTCCATCATGGAGCAAAATGTTTTGAGCATTCAATAAAAAATAAATTCTATTTCCATGGAAATAAAACATACAACAAAATGATTAACTATAATTACCTGTAATAAATCAATAAATTTACTTCTAATAACTGGTCTATTTGCAATCCCAAGTGGTAGACCCAAAAAAATAACAAATTAGGGTGGCTGACCCATTAAAAAAATGATAAGTTGACTTAATCGGCCRAAAATAATTTTTTTTTCATGTTTTTTTCAGAATGAGTAGCATTTAGATTTAATTTCTTCTTTTATTCACTTATATCATGCTGGTGTYGAAACGTCAAAGCTAGTTGTCTTGATTTTAATCTCGAAATTTATCATGATTCCTATCTTTTTATATTTTTGAACTCTAAAATGAGGGATGGCTAGACACACTAATCACTCCCTTGATTTGCCTTTGATCTCTGGGTTTATATCCCYAGACTATAATTTCTTTTTTCAAAATTTAAATGGTTGGTCAAGGATATACCTTTYTCTTCTTTTTCTTTTTCCAGCTGTTGTTGTCTTAAAAGTTCTTCTTTCTTCCACTTCTGTTGAGCTTCTTCTTCTTCTTTTCGCTTTCTTKCTTCCTCTTGTCTTTTCAATTCATCTTCCTCTTTTCTCCTTCTTTCATCTTCCAATTCCCTTTCTTCCTTTTCTCGTAATTTTCTTTCTTCTTCCTCCAGTTTACGCTGCTCTTCTGCATCCTTGGCTAACTGAATACGTCGATTTTTCTCATCTTCTTCAGCTTTCCTTCGAGTCTCTTCTTCTGTCTTTCTTCTTTTCGTAGCTTCCAATTTTCTTTTCTCAGCTTCTTGTTCTAGTTTTGCCTTCGCTTCAGCTTTCTTCTTGGCAGCTTCTTTCTCTTGTTCCTTCTGCTGCTTCTTCCTAAAAAGCTCATCCTTTTCTCTTTCTTCTTCTTCTTTTTCTTCTTCGAGCCAATCRAGCGTAGGGATATTACAAAGAGGAACTTCGATCTCTGCAAAGCTGATCTCTGATCCTGGAGCTGCTCGACTACGCAGGAATTTTACCCAGCGACGTTGCGAAAAAAAGTCATCGTGAAYTGCTTGGAATAAAAACTTTGCACTTCTTTCACTTATAGTTCCTTTACGCTCTCTGTCAAGCATTGAAAACTCCCACCTTAGATCTCTAACCAAGAAATATCTTCTGTCCATTTCGTTTAAAACATCGAAAAGTTCATCTTTGTCGCAAGTGTCTGTAGCACACACTTCAGAAATGGATGCTCTAACTTGAGGAATACTTATACCTCCATCTCTAATTTCAGCGTGCAAAGCCTGTAATTTTTCTGCTGACAATYCTCCTGTAAAAGAGGTATCGTACTTGTTGAAAGTGTATGTAATAACTTCATCTCTGCTCGTCCACTCAAACGCCATGTTTTTGTTTGATTCGGTCACTTGGTGAAGGGGGAACTAGGTACTAACAGTAAAGTATTCCACAGGACTCCCAAAATAAATCAACGAAATTATTTATTTATTTAGAAATTTTTAGCGTAGACTTTTTTGTAGTTCTTCGCCATTCTTGACCCCCGGTTGTACCGTTATTTATTATGTCTTGACAGGCTTCATGTGGTGTGGCGTCAGGAGTGGCTGACTGTCTCTTAATTTTTTTGCGCTAAATTCGTTTTTGGGACTGGTCGTCTGCAAAAGCATCGTACAGCGCCTGGTTTTATCAGTAACATCTTTGTTAGTGATTGGCTTTATAATTATAATATTGGTGTATTTAATACGAGACTGTAAGCAGTTATCGCTTCCAGAGGTCCTCTACACTACAGCCCACGTCACAGCCCACAAAACCTTACGAAAAGTAAAAAGAAAAGAAATTCTTTTTTGCGCTTCGATTTTTCAGGTTTGAGTTTCTCGTAAATCRCTTTTACAGCTTCTTATTTAACTTGAAAGGGAAAAAGTAGGAGAATGAAGAGAGAAACAAAAACAACAGAGAAAAACAAGAAGGAAGAAGACTTAAAAAAGATTACAATTAAAAAGAAAAAACAAACATTTTCGCGACAGCAGGACTTGACCTCTTGCGTTTAAACTGAGAGGAAACAGACAAAATGAAAAAAATGAAAAAGATGGGACGATTCCCCCGAGACATTCTATGAAGCTGAGGCGTCGAATCGGCTTACGTTATGGTTAGAGATTTCGGCTCTTCCACGCTATCCCGAGTGAACATAAAACTTAGTCTTAACCAAAAGGCCAGGGAGTGAGGGGGTAGCCGCCCACTAAAGCATACCTTTAGCTACCCTCTTAGACCATCGTGCTATGAAGTCACTTATTGATATCTAACACCTAATCGAGATAGTTTATTCGGTTCTATGCTAATATATGACTCATCAAATTCCCAATGGTGAAGATAGCCAGTCAAAGCGCAACTGAATTA